ATGATCGACGGAGTGAGTGCAAGAAAAGCTATGTATTTGCCTGAGATGGCCGCCCCGGGCCCTGGTGTGCAAATATGCTGCAAGAGTAAGCACACACGGCAGATTGCTCCCGGTACACCAGCGCTCGTGTTGTAGTCGGTGCCGTCGTATCTCGTTGTCACACTATACCATTCTCTAGATAGCTACTCACCACACGCGACTTTCCAATCTGGTCTTGGTCAGGGCCTTGCTGTCATCCAGTGTGTACGAGTTTATGCGTACCATTGCAGCAATGCAGACTACCTCTACCTTGCTCTTTTATCATCTCAGTCTCTGCCTACTTGAACTTGGTTCGTATTCTGTTGCGCTGCCATCTTAACTAACTCGACACTTGCCATAACAAGCCCATGGGTATGGCAGCACACACACCAAATCCGATACCTGCATATCGCGAACCTGGAAAAACCGCAACCAGTTAGAGAAGAGCTATGGAGGACCTAAGCCTACATTGAAACACTGGCTCTCCAATTGGATGTTGAGATACGTGCGTGTGTGTGTGTGTGTCTAGGTATATATATATATATATATATATATACATACAGGCATGCATGTATGCATACGGTACATACATACATACATACATACATACATACATATATACATACATACACACACTGTACCCGTCCAATCTGTCAATACCCGCCCATGTCCTCCGGCAGATGGTCCAGAATCAATCGCGCGTGGTTTATCTGGCATGCTGCGGCTGACTTAACGGCGCACGGGCTTTGGGTTTAGGGTTCGAATTTGGGATTTGGGGTTGACATGGGCTTAGGATCTGAGGACGACATGACCCATTTGATCCCATTTGCATACAATGCTGTGAAGTTGTGGTATAATGATGCCATTGCGCCGGGGTGTGGCAGCTACCTCCTGCTACTCGTGTATGTGTGTATATGCATATTTCTATGTAATGTAGATAGTGTTTATACATACATCTACTGATACATGAAACTCCACGTACACATGTGTATCTGTGTGTGTGTGTGTTTGTATGTATGCATGTATGTATGTATATCTGTGTTTATGTGTGTCTGTGTGTATATATATATATATATTATATTTGCATGTGTATGCATGCATACACATGCAGATGCACTACATGCACTATACTGCCACAGCTCCGTGTGTAGTTTACCTTTCGAAGACAAACCTATGTCCCAAAATCCGGTCACGGGTACGTACCTGAAGTACCGGTACGTAGCGGATGACAGATAGAGAGACCGGTACAGCTCTCAACCCCCAAACCACTAAACCCTAAAACCCTACAGCCCTAAGGTTGACGTGGCCAGACGTCGGCAAAGCCGAGCCCCGTGGGCTGGACCGGTATCATTCGGCTTAACGGCTTACCTCTGAAGGTTTAGAATGTGTCATCAGCTGATGAGAACGCACTGGTGCTTCAAAACATACGTGTAGACTGTAGACCTGTTCAGAAAGGCAGAACTTTGAATCTCGACAAGACATGCGGTGGAGCCACGCAGTGGTAGCGCATCGAGACCAAGGCCCACGCGTAGGTATACAGGGGCGGCGCGAGCTTTTCAAAGTGGGTCAGCCTCTTCATCAACAAAACCCTCAGGATTTTTGGGGGGTTGGGAGGGGGTGTGTCGTTAAAACTGGCGTAGCTGAGTAAGGGATCCTTACAACGAGGATCCTGCCATCTTTGATGTCTACTGGGGACCCTTATTGTCTGAAACTCCCCATGAAGTTTTTTTCTATCATCACCTGGCTAGTCGGCTATGAAGCTGATCTACTCTGCGGTGGGTGTGCCTAGGCCCCAGGCCTGCAGGCTCGGGGGGTTGAAAAGGAGCAGAGACTCCCTGCAAGATTTGTATCAGAGGCCATGACACCTTCAATTCTGAGCCCCTTACACCTAACCTTAACAATTAATACTGAGCCCTTTACACCTAAGCTTATCATGTTGAATTCTGGCCCTCCCCAGCCCCTTGTCAAGTAGACAGGATCGCACAGACATCTGCCCTCGTGTCCTTCCGATGCCTTCGGAAAAACTCCGCTCAGACCAGAAACGAAGCCTTCAAGGGTCCACGACAGCTATGGCATCTGCTAAGTCGCTTGCTGGGCCAGTTTGAAGCATATCAGCGGCCAGCGCATGAGCCTGAGTCTGAGGAAGAGATTTCGGCCCGGCCATATCAGTAAATGACGCCCCGCCACAAGAGACACAACCGCGCAGAATGGTATGACAACAATTGCTAGACAGCCACACGAAGCAACGGAAAGGGATCATTATCTTGCAGACCGTGATAGTTTCCCTGAGAGTGCCCAAACGAATACCTACCAAAGCATTCCTCATTACACTACTATAGGGGCCTTAATAATTACAATAGGGCTTTGGGGCCCATTCTACTATAATCATAATAAGGAGCCCCCAAATAATAATATAGGTAATTATTAAGGCCTCTATATTATTGGAACAACCAAAAGCTCGAAGACCTGACCCGAAACGGCTAAAATTCTTGCCGGCCCCCATACGACGATGCCTCATGCCTGCAACTTTGCAAGCGCTGCGAAGCATCGACCAAGCTTGAGAAGCAAAAAGCTGCTCCAAGAACCCGAACTTGTAGAAATCAAGAGTGCAAACCACAAGCCGCACACCCCCAAACCCAATGCCCCACGCATCGAAACCAACACAAAGCAACAAACCCCTAGAGCCCCAACCCTCAAACCTACTGTGAAAAATCCTAAACCCCAAACCCCAAACTCTAAACCCGAAACCCAAAACCCACAACCCTAAACCCAAAACCCTAAACCCTAAACCCCGGATCAGCTTTTCGGGCCGACAAGCCGGTCCATGAGCAAGTTGAGCACCGTGAGCGCAAAGTTCAGCTTCCGCGGGTCCACAGGTTGCTCCCTGGCGTTGGTTTAGGGGTTCAGGGTTTTGGGTTTAGGGTTTTGGGTCTAGGGTTTTAGGTCTAGGGTTTTGGGTTGGGGTTTAGGGGTTTATGCAAGTTTCGGGTTTGGGTGTGGGGTTTAGGGTTTAGGGGTTTAGGGGGCTTGGGTTTAATGGGGGCTGTGTGTAGTTCCAGGCCTCTTCTTGTGCTCGTCTTCGAGGATGATTTTCTTCTTGCGGTTGCTGCTGGTGCTGCTGTTGCTTCGGCTGCAGCCATTGCTGTTGCTGTCTTGGTATAGCTTTGATCTTGCTTGTTCTTGTCCTTGTTTCTATTCCTCTTCTTGTTCATATTATTATTAGTCTTCTCCTTCTTGTGGTTGTTGTTGCGGTTGCCGTTCGGTCGCGGTTGTGGTTGCGGTTGTGGTTGGTGTTGGCCTTGGCCTTGGCCTTGGCCTTGGCCTTGGCCTTGGCCTTGGCCTTGGCCTTGGCCTTGGCCTTGGCCTTGGGCCTTGGGCTTGGGCTTGGGCTTGGGCTTGGCCTTGGCCTTGGCCTTGGCCTTGGCCTTGGCCTTGGCCTTGGCCTTGGCCTTGGTCTTGGCCTTGGCCTTGGCCTTGGTCTTGGTCTTGGTCTTGGTCTTGGTCTTGGTCTTGGTCTTGGTCTTGGTCTTGGTCTTCTTGGTCTTGGTGGTGGTCTTGGTGGTGGTGGTGGTGGTGGTGGTGGTGGTGGTGGTGGTGGTGGTGGTGGTGGTGGTGGGTCGTGGTGGCGCTGGGGTGTGGGGTGCCGGGGTGTAGGGGTGCTGGTGCTGGGTGGCGTGTGGGTTGGCATCACTACTGCTATTGTGCTTCATCTTGTTCCTGCGTCTGTTCCTGTACTAGGTCTTGATACTGTTATTGGTATTTGTCTTGGTCTTGTTCGTGGTGTTGATCTTGTTGTTGCTGCGTTTGTGATTGCTGTGGCTACTGCTGGTGCTCTTGTTCTTGCGCCAGTTACTGGCTGCCGTTATAATTATTGCTCTTTGTTGCGTCAGCGTTGTTGTTGTTGTTGCTGATGTTGCTGCTGCTTGCTTGCTTGATACAGGGGCTGACAGGGTCTAGGGTGAAGGGCTTAGCTTCTAGGCACAACTGACATATCTCCCTGTATGTATATATATATATACACACACATATACATCTACATATACATATACGCATACATATGCATACATACATACTTACTTACTTTCGTACTGACTTACTTATATACATACACACACAGAGATATATAGATAGATTGATAGATAGATGGATGGATAGCTGGATAGATGGATAGATAGATAGATGGACAGATAGGTAGATAGGTAGATAGGTAGATAGATAAATAGATACATCGATAGATAGATAGGTAGACAGATAGATAGATAGATAGATAGATGGGGAGAGATCGATAGATCTACACAGATACATATGCACCGTATCAACGTATCCCACCATATATGCAACACTGCTTCTATGGCATCTGCTTACATGAGGGAAGTTTTCCAAAGCAGAGCAGCATGAAGGACCTAAGCTCTAGGGTTCCGGGCTTGGACTTCCCTAAACCCCAAGCCCTAAACCTTGAGGGTTTATGGTTTAGGGGTTAGGGGTTTTGGGTTTTGGGTTTAGGGTTTAGGGAGGGTGGGGCTTAAGTGGGGCACTGCAGAAGTCGCGTGGTTCACGTCTCGGCCCGGGTTGCCGGAACCTTACACTCTCCGTTCTCCGTCCTCAGCTATGCCTTATTTACGGTTTAAGCCAACGGCTGTATAGCCTAGAGTTTAGGGAGAAATGCAGTGGCCTCAAGAAGCACAACACGGACTTGGGGCATAATGACCTATCGAAATAGTGGCTGCAAGGGATAGTACTAGAGACTATTCAGACGTGCATAGTAAGGTATGAACGAAGGACGTCATCCTCTCCAGGCTTGGGCACTGAAATCCCGTTAGCTTCAGAAGCGCACCCCAAAAACTGAAAATCTGCAGAGACTTTAGGGTTCGGGTTCAGGGTTTAGGACTTCTGATAGAAATCGTAGGGCCCTGATAGATACCACTCAGGCTCTGCGGAAAATTGCAACGGCCCCAGCTTAGTGTCAAACAAGTCGGCTCCACCTCATCCCTTCAAGCACCGCTTTCTCCCAAACCTCGCCCTCACGATCCTGACTGAGAGAAGGAACAGAAGTTCACTGCGGCCGTTCGGGTATGTGATCGAAGTCTCTGGTGCAAAGAATCCCCTAGTCTCGGCCACCAGTATATAGAAAACCGTCTCATCAGCACCAAAGCTTCAGTGACGGCATTGCTACGCATTTTGAAGGGCCCTGCAGTACTAGAATTATAGTAAGGAGCCCCCAAAAAATGTAGGTAATTAATTGGTCCACTATGTTACTCGGTTATGCAGATATACACAACTGCACCGTCATAAGCTACACCGGGCCTCAATGAATCCGCTGAGTCTTGGTGCCCGAGTTTGTGAGAGGAGGTGTTTCTGCGCATGTGCTCTCTTACCAACCCACCCAAAACGAGGAGTTCTTCTGGAAGAAGTTCAGAAATATTGTCGGACCCCCCCTCATTCAAAAACAATCGAGCCCAACAACAGTTGAAGCGTGCACTTTCTGGTGGTCTTGATCCACCTAGGCCAAATGAATGGTGGAGATTGGGGTGTTGGGTAGTGGGTACTGGGTACTGTGTACTTGCTACTGACCGGTGGGTGCTGCGTAGCGCGTACGCGGCCCTAAGTATCGGGTACTGGATACTGGGTATTGGGTATTGCGTGCAGAGGAGCTTGCACTTGAGTAGCGGCTGGTCAGGGCATGTCAAACCCACTTCCCATCCATCACAACCCACCTCATCCCGCCCCATCCCGCCATCCCATCTCATCATCTCGTCCGATCCCCCATCCCACCACCCTGCTAACCATAAGCCCTAAACACAAAAAACGGTGCGTTGCATAAGTATAGGCCTGCTTCATGTTGCGTGGCTTTGCCACCACTCACCCACCCTCCACCCCAGTCAGCGTTCTTCCCATCTACCATCGCCATCTTCAGTCCTCCCCTCTTTCCTCTCTTACCTTCGTCCTCTCGTTGCCGTCTTTTCTTCGCGATTTGTGGGAGGAGGACTACTGCTACTACGGCTACACTACTCCGGCTACTGCTACTACTAGTACTACCACCAGTCACTACTACTACTACTACTACTACTACTACTACTACTACTACTAGCCACCCCCCCCTACCAACTACACTTGCTNNTATCTGTGACAGCTGCAGAAGTTGCACAGGGTCAGTTTCCTTACCTGTCACAGCCGGTGAAGTCGCGGAGGATCAGGCCCCAAAACTGCGACAGCAGTTGGAGTTGCAAACTCGACGGGGAAGAAACTGCTCAACCACAGGTGGTCGGATAGTACGAAAACGTTGTAAATATCGTGCAAATCGCAAGCGCTGCCAAGAAGGTTTTAACACTCCTAAAACCTGAAACGCAACATTTTATAAACATCAAAAACAGAGATGCCAGCTGTACGTGGAAGGAGCTCGCCAACACCCCTAAAGCCCCGACCTCGGCGTAGGAGGTTTTGCGTTTGAAGTACTGTGTGGTGTGTGCGCCAGGCTGTGGAGATTTTGTTCGGGGTGTCCGCGAAACAGTGTCGTGATCATCCCCGAAAAAAGCTTCGGGGTTGTGTGCGAAAGTACTGTAAATACCGAGTAAAAGCGCGGTCGCCAAAAAAGGTACTGTAAATACCGAGGAAAACGGTT